CCCCAAAACCCCAAAACCCCAAAACCCCAAAACCCCAAAACCCCATAAGATGCCATATGAAAAGAATTTTTAATTATTGAGATTAAAATAAAAGAATTTGTTAATTTTATAATAATATCAAAATGCAAAACTGTTAGACATTAATATCCATTCTGCTCATATATAGTTTTCTATTGAGTACCATTTTCAGTTAGCCTTATTATCCAAGGATCGTGGCCGCTCCATATTACGATATATCAACTGTCTATGATCTATAATTTGATTTGGAGGGTAATTCTATAATCTTAGGATAGTTGATCAAAGCAAATTCACTCTTCAATTATATGTATCTAGCTAAAATTGATGATGAAGGTAATAATCAAGAGAATATGATAATGCCGGTTTAATATGATTATGGAGGAGTGATAACTTAAGTTCGAGCAACATGATTTCTTATAGTTTTATCTGATAATTTATATATTCTCTACGAATAGTTTAGAGCAAATTTAAGCACTCTCTTTATTGGTTGTGTTGAAGCAGAAACTGGGTAAATAACATAATTAATGTTAGCAGATTCATCACAAGCTTGGATCAAATTGCTATTGATATCTTACAGTTATGATATTGTTATTGCTTAGTTTCAGTACTAAGATTTTTCTACATTTTTAGTTCAGAAGTACTAGCTAAACCCTTTAACATTAATGCTTGATTTATTATGGAGCAGAAAATGCGAAATCTAGTCGAATAGACAATTCGTATATCATGTACAAGTTTATCTTGTACCTAATGGATTTCAGGAAGTATACACCATTGGTTGAATTGACAATAGATTTAGCATTCTTACTCTAAATTTTGAAGAGTTATCAGCCAGCTCTTATGCTTTGAGCAAAAACCATGTAATAGAAACTGGCAGCAATAATTTTAACTCTGATGGAATATCAATTATGACATCAAGTTTAGAGACTAATTAATGATATGCTTGTTTAACTGATAGCCAGGACGTCAGTGTGAAGTTTGTCATTGTCAATCAAGCAATGAATGATGCTTTAATTTTCTTGATAGACAATACTCTCTTTAAATATTACTGCTAAGATATTGCAATGTTCTCTTTAACCATGAATTATGAAAGGGTAATTCTTGTTTATAATAGCCTGGATAGAGTTTTCATTTTGTGTATTACAATTCACTTATATACGGATTATTTTTCTACGATTAACGCAGGAATTCAATTACAAGCTAGCATAGTAGAGATGGGAAATTCAATTAATTTCAGTTATCAAAGTTTTCTTTCTTTTGGTGCTACCATAAATAGAGATTATCCTAGTTAGTATAGAATATTTGGACACTCAAGTAATAATCTGGATTGCAC